CCCATTTCTGTAATACCCTTCAATGCATTTAACACATCCACCAGATGATAACAGTTGTGTGCAAATTCCAATCAATTTGGCATTTGTATTGCATGTATTATTTGAGAGATAATATCCCAATGGACATGTAATACAACGAGTCGAATTAATGACACAAGTCATACAATTTAGACCACATTTTTCACATTTGTTTGTTGATGAACTGTAAAAATAAAAGTCTTCACATCTCAAACACGAAACCGAACTCTGGTTTGTGCATAACAAATCGTCATTTGTGTGACATTCCATTTTGTTTGGAATCGAATTATTATCACATTCTAAACACATTGAATTTGTAATAAAATTGCATTTTGCAATTGGGGACGAACACCTTCCGTTTTGATCATTTGGTATTGAACAATTATTATTTTCACACATTTTATTTGTATTCATTTCAGTTGTTATTTCACATTTTGTGGGATGACCATTTTCACAAAGAAGACTTGATTTGTACATTTCTGAGCATTTTTGACAATTTGTGGAATTCGTAACAAAACCACTTTTACAAGTTATTATATTATTTTGATTTGTGTATTTTGTATTATCATCTGCATTTACACAATGTGTGTTGTTAATGTTAAAAGTTGTTAAATCACAAATTTGGCATTTTTCATCAAAAGTTTGAATCAAACAGTTTGTAGACTTTTGACACCTACCTGCAACTAATGAATACCCTTTAGAACATTTCAAACATCGATTTGATTGTTTTAACAAACAATTTGATATTATTGCACATTTTCCATTTATATCAATATTGTAATTATGTTGGCATCTTAAACATTCATTTGTGTTGTAAGAACAATCAAGACAATTTAAATCTGAACATTCTTCACATTCTTGTGTTATTGTGTTAAAATGCAATCCATCCTCACATTCTGGATTTATTAAATATTTGGTATGATTATTTGTCGTGTATATTGCCTGTGAAACAACCTTTTTAAATACAAAATATTGAGTCGAAACAAGAAGAACTGTTTTTGTTAAAGACGAAATATTTGTAATTAATTTTAATGATTGTGAATTTACACATAAAACAAAGTTGTCTGTTTTATAAAATGAAACTTTTTTGTTTTCGATTGAAACACTTTCAATGTCAAGTACTTCCTCAAGTTCATTGGTTTTATGTTGTGAGTTTATTGGTGGTGTATCAATATATAAATTAAAAAAAGTGATGTTTTTGAGTGGAGTGATATAACAATTGACAGAACTACAAGGACAGTATGGCTCACTATAAAATTCGTTTTTATTAATTAAATGGCAAAACACCTTGTTTGAAAAACCCAATCTTAATAAGCGACCATCTATAAGAAGTTTAGTTCCTTGTGGAAGCGTTGTTTTAATTGGCATAATGGAACAAGCCAAATCTATTTCAAATGAATTCTGAAAACTGAAAATTGTCATGTTTATTTGATAAGAAAAAAAGATGGGTAAATCCCTGATTGTCCTTTTTGTTACGTTTATATTACAAAAATTAAATATTGTAGTATTCAAAATGTTAACCCATGTAGTATTTGTCACAACTATCGTGCCATTGTTGATACAAGATAAGTTTGTACTGTTAACACTATTTCTATCATCATTTCCATTTAACACAAAAGTGCCATTTGTGATTTTGAAATTAGAGGCATTCACAAATGAATTGTTGTTCATTTCAAATGTGTGCTTTCCATTGTTGATTTCAATTTGTGTAACGTTTTTGATGATTGCATCATTGTACATCAAAAAAGTAGCATTGTTACTCAAATAAAACCTGTTTTTAATTGAAGTGATTTCGCTAGAATTCATTGTGAAAGTTGAATTACCATCAATATAAATATATAATGTTGAATTGATACTCGATTTTGAAAACATCATGCAAGTGCTATTTCCACCAAAACTTATGTCGTAATTCAAATTGACAAGAGAATGCTCATGTAATAACGCAGTTGAATTCTCATAGAAACGAAAAGAATCGGCACGCTTTATGCTTGAACAATTACCCATTTTAAAAGTTGCATTGTCGCTGAAATCAAAATACATCATTCTTTCAATGGACGCATTTGGGTTTAAATACAGTGTAGAATTTCCATTGAAAATAAAAAAATCGGCATTTGTTATTGAATCAAGAAAAACAATCCCGTTTCCTCTCGATCTTATTTCTATTAAATTATTTATTTTAAAACCGTGTTCCATTTTAAAAATAGCGTCGTCCTCTATATTTGCAGCAAATAAATTCATTGTAAATCCAAGAGTTTTAAAAATAAATATTGATTTGTTGTATAAAATGATATTAAAAAATGATTCAATAACAGATATATCTGAAATGATAAATTGTGATTCATTAAATAGGTTAATATTTCGTGTGTCTAAAATCGAATTATCATACAAATTGAAATGTGATTGATCTTTTAAAGTAATATCTGTTGTTGTACAAAGTGTTGATCTTTGTGTGACATTTATAATTGAAGCATTTTGACATATCAACCCACCTGTTATGTTTAGTGTTGAAACATTATTTAACATGTATACTGTAGGTGCTTGTAAAGAACCTGTTATTGTCAATGTTTCATTTAAAGTGCAATTTTTGGATTGAATAAAAGACTGTTGTACCAAATTAGAAGGACATGAAGCTCTAACAGAAGTGATCATTGATAGTGGAAATATAATAAAAAAAACAGACAATATTAAAGTTTTACTTCTCATTTACGATTAAATTGAATTTTTTGTTTGTTTTTAAAATAGTGTTACATTTTATATTCAAAAACGTTCAAACAATTTAATTGGAAATAATTTATTAAAAAACAAAAACATCAACAAAATTATATAAAGTTGTATTGGAACAAATACTTGATTGCATTCTCATGTTTTTCGTTTAAAAATGGTCATTGTTGACTTTTTCATTTAAAATAGAATAAATTATAAAACAATTATAACTAAAATGGCCGGTAAAATGTATTTTAATTGGCGTTTAAAGGTTTAAAAAGCATTTTTAATAATAAATATAAGGTTGAAGGTTTAAAACAGTAAAAACGTTAATACTAAACAGACAGTGTTTTGATTTATTTCCATAACAAAATTGTCAACACAATTAAA